CGTTCCAAACCGTGCTAAAATTCAGCTCCTACCAGTGCGGAGACTTTTAAGAAGAGGTTTGCAGAAGAGGCACGCACACGCGTCACACCCAGGGCCTGCGCCAGCCCTGGGCAGAGAGCACACGTGACGGCGGCTTACCAGTTTATTTCTTGTGAGGTCTGGAGGCTCGAACTACACGGTTCAATTTGTTTGATCCTTAAAAAGGTCATACTCATTAAAAAAATGAACGTTTTCAGTCATATTCTGCAGCGCCTCTGCACGCCGGCTTCTTTGCATTCGGACTGCAGAAAACGACGACAGCGTTTGTGCTGAGGAGAATGGCGTGAGCTTTGCCAATTAAAATCCATCCGTGAGTGGATGTCTTTCGACCTCCCAATAAAGTGCAAGTCAGCTGCTTGTTTTGATTTAATCAGCGAGTTCTGCCTTTATCCAAGACCAAGCTTAAGGAGTAAATGAGTATTTTGTTGAAGAATTCCTATATGTGCATATATATATATACATATATACATCTGTGCGCATGCGTGCGAGTGTAAAAATCAAACCCACGCGCAAACAAAGATGTTACCAACTCTTCTTCCTTCTGCTCTCTTAGGCGGTATCTCATCGAGACGGCAGCAGCTTGTTCTGAGATCAAGGTGGGAGATCAGGCAGGAAATAAAGATAACACCACTTCTTTTTCAAATGTCACATTTAATGTTTTCACCACTGTACTTCAAATCTACATTTTACAAAGTGACCAGCAAGTGTGCCACATTAACTGACCAACCTCTGAGATTTTACCTTTCATACCAGTGTCTTCTCGGGCTCGTTTAATCAAACACCTTTCTCACTCAAGTGAATCGCAATGCTTCAGTTGGTTTTATTCTCAGGAGCCTCATAAAAAACAAAGATATTGCACCATCTTTGTTCAGTTATTCAATGTTTGTCTCTTTCACAGCAAATAATTACTTCATTGAAGTTAAAACTTCCAAACATAACTTACTAATAGTCTCCAATTTCAGCTCAGATCACTCTTGTTGAAAATACTCTGCTAAATACAGATAACTTACAATAACTTTAACAGTTAATTGTCCATAACAAACACCACGGGTTTTCTCCAGACCAATGCTCAAATTTTAAGACCACCCTTTAGTATTCCTTTGTACAGGTGAAAAACAGTCTTCGATTTTCTAGTCTTGTTTTAAATATAAAAGTTGGAAGGGACATTCAAGTTTCAAGTCTCCACACTGAACTTAAAAAAAAAAACAAAACAAAAAATCATGTGGAGGTAAACAAACCAAGTTGTATACTCCAGGAGGTAGAGGCCTTCAATTTGTGTTCATATATACATATGCACAGAATTCAGTGTTCCAACAGAAAAAGAATTAGCCAAAAAGTAATAAAAGTTATTTACTACTGTGACATTTCAAGACTTCCACAGCTTCGCCTAGAGACACTAACACAACCAACGCAATTCCCTATGTGCTTTTTTTTTCCTTTTCTTTTTTTTTTTTTTTTTTTTTCTCTCTCAACTGTCCAGTGCAGGAAAAAGTTCTCACAAAATTTCACAGACCTAAAATGTGCAAGCTAGTTTCTCTCTATACAGCAATGATGTCAGGGATCTCTGAAATTAGCCCATAAATGGAATTATTTACACACATAGAAGATGCATGCTGGGGGGTTTTATGTAAGAAAGAGCAGAAAAACTTCTAATAAAAATAGATTAAATATATATATATATTTATACTGGGTAAGGAAACAGAAGTTTAGTCTCTCCTAGTCACAAACTCATTCTCTCTACTCACAACATTTGATTTTAGAACAGCACACATCACCATCACAGCTCTATGAGAAGCTATTTATAGGATTGGATCATCAGGTGACGTGCCCACTTGCTGTGGTCACTGTCAGCCGACGTGACGTCACGATTGGTCGCAGTCAAGTTTTCTGTATTCCTTAGTTTTAGAAAACCCAAAATCTTCAGGAATGGCTCAATATCAAAATGTACGTCTGTCTTTTTGTACAATCTCACTTCGATAAAAAAAGAAAAAAAAAAGAAAAAAGAAAAAAACCTCCCCAAATTTGGTTCAATTCTGTTTGTTCTGAGCTGAGCCATCACAGCTGCACTAGAATTCATAAAACACGTGCAACTCTGGGTAAAATATTTTCTTCTAAAAGCACAACCACTTTACAAGATTAAAAGTCTAGTACATTTCTAAATATTATTCATATTGTACAAGTAGTGGTTGTTAATTTAAAACTTCATTAGTAAAATTACAGTACAAGCATGATTAACCGCCAGAATTGCAAATCCCAGGCTCCAGTGGAAAGCTACATTACATCTTCAGTAGTTTATTATCTTCCACTTTATTCCCAAACCAGTGGAGATGGCGGCATCTCAGATGGTTGAGCAACCGTGGAACTAGAATGCAGGCGACACAGAAAATCAGTGTTCATTTGCAATAGCCAACAGACAAGAAAGCAAAAGCTCAGCCAGCAAGCAAACATTTCCAGGAAAACAAAAAACCCCACCAAAGCCAACCCAAGCCAACCCACACCACCCCAAGACCAACAGCGCTGACAACAAACGTTTTACTGTTCTTTATCTACTTATTTGCTTAACAATTCTTCACCTGTCAGTCATTAATGTTTGTACAGTGCCATTCCACAATCAGAATTCAACTGGCCAATCTTTCCGTTCTCATTTTTAGCCTGGCTCCTGTACTCTTACACAAAAATAGGACTTGAAACTTTCGCCCGTTTTACTTGAATTCTGGAATCAATCACAAAAGCACTTTCAGAATGCAACCACAGGCGCCCTTCAGGTATTTTTTTGCAGAAGTTACCTATGGGCCTTTCCTACTCTCAGAAACTTAAAACATAAAAACATTTTGGAAGTGTGAATTCTGTACTACTGATAAATGTGAATTAATATCAGATGTGATTACATACAGTTACCTAATAAAGCTCTTAAAAGCAGCAGACTGAGGGTTGATGCAGAGAGGCACTCTGTTTCCTTTCTGCTGTTCCAAAATGAACTGGTGAATTATTTCTGTACGTAAGAGAAAAATAAAAACCACCGTACCGTTAGCACCTTTGGCTTCAGTAAAATGCAACATAGACTGGAGGAAAATACAACTTCCTTCACGGAAAGTACATTTTAGTAAGGATAAAAGAACTCCAGCTTTCCTAAATCTAATCTGACGCCACACCTGGTAGCACAAGCTCAGACAGGACCCTGATACGCACACTGCAATAAATGTGTACAGAATAACCCCCTAATCGCCACTACAATGCTGAGCTGATGGTAACCAGGTACAGATTAAATCCCAATTTTAGAGCGTAACTTTTTGAAAAACAAAGAATTCTCAACTTGAACTTGATTTGCAAATGCCAAGAACGCAGTTCCAGTACTCGGTCCAGCCCGATTCGTGAATTCAGTTCCGACCACCAAGCACAGAGCTGCCACTTGAGATGATTACAACAAAAAAAATTTTCGTAAGGGAAGAGGAACTCTGTGTACAGTTACCAGACAAAACATCTTCTCATACACACGTGTGCCCCCCACCCCCCAAAACCAGAGCCGGGCAGGTTTGGCAGCGGGCCGCTCCTCTGTGAGCAGCAGCGACGGTTCCCAGAACAGGGCTCCGCACGCCCGGGTGGTACGTGCGGGAATCTGCGTTGCTGTCAAACTCTAAAGGCAGCTTTTAGAAGAGCAGATTTCAGAGAAGAGAGCAGATCTATGCACAGCTCTGAAAAGCGATGGCCAAAGAGAGGAGGCACATAGAAGGAATACCAGGATAAAAAGACAACAATGTTAGTAAACCTGGAGGAACTACAAATGTGCATCTCAGAATTACAAGTTCAGGGTATGTCTGAAATAAGTCACGTCATCACGGCAACATCATGGAGTGGTTTTGTCCCAAATGACTGAATTGTTTGTTAGAAACTGCTGAGGTAACGCATTTCTTCTCCCTCTCCTCCCGAGTGATTTATTTGAGCTGCCACCAGACAGAACCTAACGCCCTACTACCGTTTCTCATATAGCTCATAAAAGGACGGCTTTCCTCACTGGATCTGATTTCAAAAGAAACAAAGTCTGCTTTATGAGAGCGCATCCTCTGCATCGCTGCCGGAGCCGCAGCGTGGCACCAGCAGCAGAGCTTGCGGCAGCGGCTGCTGGAGAGGCACCCGGCGCGGAGGCTTCGCGAGAGCAGGCTGTGACGGGGTAGGGGAACTGAAGCAGAACTATGAGGCTGCTCGGCTTCAGCCACCTGACGACGCTGACCCTTTCTGCAGGACAGCTATCAAGGTAACAGCTCGTGCCCCGAAAAGGCAACGGCAGTGATTTCCCTTTCCCCCCAGTGCAACCCTTCAACACAAGAGCGGCACGGGGAGCGCCGACATCAGAGGAGAAGGCTGTAAGGTTTGAAACCAACAGGCTTCTGCATGTCAGCTAACTCGTGAGATATTATATTGTGTCAGAGCATTTACAAGCAATCCTGTTCTTCTAGCGAAAAGAAATCAGTTCCAGTGTCTACTGTGGAAAAATACCTACAAGAAAAAACCACCTGGGTCAGTACGGGCATCCGGACTGCACGTCCTGACCGTGTGCTACTGAGGGATGGGGCAGGAAGATAAATGCAGATGCAGAGGTTAATTACTACTCACCTTTAACCTGCCGAACAGAACTGAGGTTCTTTTCAAAAGTGTCATCAAATTTGGGATTAGTGATGGGTTCAAAATCACTGGTATAAACTCTTCCAGTAGATGTGGAAAAACAACATTTACACATACAAGTGTGGTATCGCAACCGCCCTTCATCAAGATATGGGTGAGCTAAGGCATCCTTAGCAGATATTCTTTTGGACTGAAATGTTGCATTTAAGGAGGAAAAAAAAAAGAAAAAAGAAAAAAAAAAGTTAGGATACGTTGAGAGGTATTGAAACAGTCTAAAGAACACTCATGCATTAATGAATTTAAATTGTTTTATAAACGCCTAATACGTTACAGGATTAGTTCAGGTCAGAAGATGTTTTAGATCTGCAAACACTGCCACTAGGGGGAAGAGTTTACTTAAAAACAAGCGGCACCGCTGCGATGGCATTGACCTTTCTGTACCATAGCTAATGATAGAAAATGCTGCTAATTCGCTTTTTAGAAATACATTTTTCAGTAATGACTTTCTCCAGATAACCTTAAAATTATGGCTCCTACAATAAATCAAAGTAAGCCCAAAGAATTTCATATTAGCAACTGCGACACTTTGTAGGTCCATGCTCTGCAGAACACTGTAATGTGTCCGTAAGCACATATTTAACGTAAAACACAAATTTAAACATCACCGGTAACAGAATAATCCAGGATACGGCATCTGGAGTTCTGAGAAACACTTTACCCGTCGAGTTTCAGAGAACAAGTGGTGAGGGAAGTGCAGGGAAGAAGGTGGTCAGAGCAATGGTTTGAATTACAAAGTCTCCTTGCACATTCCTAAGGCCTCCGTCGTTACAGGTGAATTAAAAATCCCAAACCAAAACACAACCAGGACAGAAGTCACTTGCTCAAAGTCACAGAGCAAAAGCGGTGGCAAAGCTTGAAGCGCACCCCAGCTGTCCCAGTTCCCAG